TTGTTATTCCTTTGTTTATAACTAACTTACGTATCGTACAGAACTTTTAGACACTCTGTCAAACAAATATTCTTGTTACAGACAAAAAAGTATTTAATACAAAAATGATTATTTGATTTAAAATAATTAATATTTTATTTGGTTTTCTTTTTGTATTTTCTGCTATTCTTAAGAGACTCGTTTCTCTTCTCACTCTTTCTATAGAATTCTATACTATCCCTGAAGAACTTTCAACTGTATGTGAAATTGTAAGTGAAGCTATACAAATCAACAAACAAAATATTCATAGAGAATTATCTATAATCGTTTTCATGTAACAACGTACAGAGTCGATTCTTGAAAATATATAATTGTTAAACAAGCATTCACACGATTTAACGGAACTTGCAACAATGCTCCGTTTGATTTCAATTTTATACTATCACTGTACTGCCACTTAACAACGTCTTTTTGACCGAAATATGAAGCCATAGCCGACTTACAAAATAGTTCTTATATTGACATGATCAAAATATTTCGACACCTTCTGTGTTCACAAAAATCGCCGTTTCGCAGCATTTTAGAAATGATTTTAACGTAAAATCGAACTGCAATCTACATGCTGTCATTCAAACATGAACAAAAAGTCTCAAGGCTCAACTGTTTCTTATTGTCGATCCTCGACTGAGAAATCAGAAGATTGAATATGAACGACAGCAAACCACAGGTGATTCGAGAAACCGATCATACGCGTTTAATGCGTATAAAAGTAATCAACTATAAGTAACGGTGTGCATCTAAGAACAGGTTGAACACCTCTCAAAGTACACGCACAAATTGTATCGCACATAGTTTTTCAACCACGGATAAGACAGTGTCATATCGAAATCGACATTAACACGTTCACTGTTGATCGATTCTCGATTTGTCTACGCCAAAATGTAATTTTTCGTACAGATTTATAATTTCACAAAATTATAACAATTTCAAAAGTATAATTTAAATTATGTTTTTATATCTTCCTTTTATATTTGTATAATTTAGAAATATAATATTTCAAATTATTAATTTTTAATTGTTGAAAATAAATTTTTAAATCATACTTTCCCTTCATAGAAGAGTTTACAATTTGCATATTACAAAGAACTATGTACCAATTGTAATAAGTGTTGAACCGCTTTTTCACTTGTCTGATTTGTAATCTGCTTCTTTTTATATCTGTAACATCGGATATGTATACATCATGTATTCGGATGAGCGGATATTTATATCGAACGTTCTTTTTTGTACATTGGATGCGTTATCTAACACTGAAACTGGTTTCGATATTTCGTCTTGGGTATGGTGTGTCGTCCGAAACGTGCAGAATCGCAAAACGCGTCTTATCGATCGTCTCGATTATCAAAAATGTACGAAAAGTTCGCTCATAAATTCGCGAAAATTTCTTCCCAGAGATTACGTAACACGCATTGAAGAAATCGGAACGTGTTCGCAAAACGTCCCTAATGTTTGTGCTGTATGAAGGGGAAAAACACTGCTTATATCCTATCCAATGCACTCCGACGAGATGCTCTGGATTGAATTCGAGTAACTCGGAGATTAATCTAGCGATAAGCCACCATTAGATATATCAGATCTTATTTTTTAAGCAACGTAAGAAGTTTGCAAGCGAGTATCGGGAAACACAGGGGATCGATGCGTGAATTTGTTTCGCTGGCATCGTTGACCTGTGTTTCCCACGATCAAGTCTGCGAATGCACTGAAGAAACCTTAATTAGTAATGTCCGATTGTAATTAAATATATTGTAAATGTCGGTTCAAGTGTCGTAGATAGTCGGCAAAGAATGAAGAGAAAAAAAAAAAAACATAGAGTATCATGTATTATGATTAAAAAAGAAAAAAAAAGAGGCGAAAAAAGTTGTATATTTTACGATATGGCTGCCGTATTAAGCAGAAAGGGGAATTACGCAAATGAATTGCATTGTATCGTATCGTGTTGCTAGTCAATCGACACGTTTTGAAACGGAACGATAGAAATACAAGGAGATGACGATTCAACGAGAGTGGTGTAGAGAGTAAAATTGAATAAATTAATCGTGTCACAAATATTAAATTATTGTACAAAATTTAATGCCGATAGTTTGTAAGGCCTATCGTTTTACTTTTATGAAATCGACTTATGTTTATACTGTACGATGTATCCAATACTATCGTGCTAAATTGAATGGCGCGTAAACTCGTATCTATGCACACGATTCATTCACGTTCCTTTCACGTATGAGAGACAAGCTGGAGTTCTGACTAGTTCCAGAGTTTCTTCACCTTTTTGTCCTATCATAAAAGTTTATGGTATTCATTGTTGTGGTTTCGATTCCATAAAGACAAATTGTATTATACAGCATTTGTAACAAATTTGAACTATAATTTGAACTATTATTTAATTAGGTGTGAAGAAAGTTCTGTGCTTTTACCTTTTTCTATTTATTCTTTTATGAACTAAACATATCTTCATTTCTCAAAATTTCAAATATTCTTAATCGCTAAATTATTTCTTTCAAATTTTTAATTTTTTTTTAATTTAATAATTTTTTTCTTTCTTTATGCGTCGAATTTTTAGTACAAACATTTCTAGTGGAATGTGACTCATTGTTAGAGTTAAAATTTTACTTAAAAAATTTAATTGTATTCGAAATTAAATTAGATTGTCTTTAAAAATAGGACAAATGATTTTAACCATTGCAGCAACATTTTTATTTAAAACACAGAAAGAAAATGATATTAGCTACATACTTTATTGTCTGCTGTTGTACTTACAACACTTTGAGCATCAATAGTTTTATAAAATTTCTAAATCTGAAATAAGGAAACAAAGCATAAAACTAAAAGCACAAAATATTTTTCTACATCTAACAGCTCAGATTTAAATTGAAAAACACTAAGTTGTGTATAATTGTATGGTATCGCAATATTAAATTGTAAAAGTTCTAAAAAACCTTAAAATATTATGGGATTATATCAGTAGATTTTGTACTGACAATGTTTAAAAGCCCAAAAATATTCTCATCAAATATCAAATTCCTTTTCTTTCCTAATAATTTTAATAATATTTGTCACTATTTTTTCAAAAACTTCTTCATATAAATATTCGCAAATATTCTTTACATATAAAGATAGCATTTGATAATTCCATAATTAATGAAACAAAAAAAAAAGATATCACATAGTAGACACTCGAACAAGAATGAACTCTCGCTAGTTTGTCTATGCAGTAGCGGCTGACTTCGATGTCCATCCCAATTCTTCGACCTCGTACACTCTGAATCGTTTCCAATTTCAAACAAAAAAAAAAAAAGACTAAAGGACTCACGAGGCTTCACGAAGTTGTCAGCACGGGAGGGAAGGGGCGAGGAAACGCGTTTTGAATCAGAGGATCAGCCGGCAAACGAAAGCCAATATGCACGCGGACACACTGTACATTCGTGTAAAGCATAGCGGAGCCTTATTGAGAAAGCAATATGCATCCTTAAAAAAAAAAAAAAAACTGCTTAAAGTATTTTCAAGCTGCTAATTCTATTTGAATAATCAATTCCTATACTAAGTGACATTGAGGCATCCTGGATCCTCGAAAAATAGCGGTTGTCTTCTGCAGTTTTGTCGTTGCAAAACTGATAGAAGATCACATTTCGAGGACCGTTGGTATAACCCACGAATAGCACTTCAACTTTGTATATTCTCGTCTGATGTTCGTTTATTTCACTCTGACACAGCCAACTGATCGTTTCGATCGTTTACACTGCCACGTAACCCTTTGACTGTGTACTTATTTTTAGAAAACGTAACCCTTTGTACTTATTTTTAGAAAAAAATTATTAAAACTGATTTTTTTTTAATGTATTAAAAATTATATAATATTACATAATGATATAAATTTAAATATATTCTATGGACAATATGTTATAAAAGATAAGTTATTTTATTCATATGTATAGTTAAAGGGTTAAAGTGAAAGTTCCAAATAAATAAATTATATTTCTTCGTTTTATTATATTGATGTTCAGTAAATGTTAATAGAATTGAATTAATCGTAACGTAGTACAAAGTCTGGAACAAAAGACTATTTTATATGATAATTTTATCTAATCATGATTTATCTTCGATAGTCACATTTTATACTTGGATTTACATTGATGAGCTTTTTCGCTACCGTGGGCTGCAATCAGAGTCCTCTCGACTCCGTATGTAAATACACTTCCGAAAATAGTACGTATAAAAGTTATTCATCGCCTATACGATACAATTTTCTCCCACTTATTGAATCTTTATTAAAGTATATAATAAAAGCATGAGTGCCATCCCAGTTCCAGCAGCTTCCTCTTCACCACCCTTGTGGCGGCTGCACATCGTCGAACATGTAAATATATGCCGTGGAAAAGACGAAACAAAGAGGAGGCCGACGGAAACACGGGGTGCTCAAGAAAAATAGTAGCGGCGCTCTGTATTTTGGCGTAAAAACTAAGCGAACGCGTAAACGTGTAAAATCAAGCGGGGAGAAAGTGGTTTTAGCGAGTCCCTGGCCATTACATAGGTCACTAAATATAATAATATTATAGGAATATTCCAGCGTTATTTTGTACATAAACAACTTTATCAACGGATATTAAGAAATCATCAATAAATCTATATATAAAAAGACAATTCGTCTGAGTTTATCTTTAATGTCTATTCACCTTTCAATCTACGATATCTATTTTCTCCTCTTTTATTTATTATTCATTTCCTCTCAAAACGAAATTCAGTCATTGAAAGATAAAATTGATTTGCTTTAAATCTGTTATATTTATTCGTGAATATACATGTATTGTGACAAGTTAATACACATACTTTTTTATTCCTTGCATGTGAAAATATTTTGATTATAGTATGCAAAGTATGTTAAAATAGTTAAAAATTCAACTTAGTTGACATAAGACATAGATAGTACACACATTTATTTCATTATCATAAGTAATAATACACATAAATAGGATAATACGACACTTTTATTTTTATATACAAAAGCTATTGTTTATATGTACTGAGGTCTTGAAACAAACATACGTAGATTTAAATTAAATAGCAAGGCACTATATATATATATAATTAAACAGCAAAATACGAATCCGGAATGTCTTTCTGTTAAAAATTAATGTAATATATTATTGTTAAAAAATTATTTTTTGCAATTTAAAAAGAGAGTACATATGATTTTATACTACTACATGAGCGAAAACAATTAATATTACGAAAGTTTAAAAAATAATACACATATTGACAAAAGCAATATTTATTGCTACAAGTTGTTTGCATGAAGCATTGTTTATGTTTGTAAGAATAAATTTGACATTCGACATTACGAATCGCATCGCAGTTTACTTAATTTGCATAAAATAACTATCTGTTTCGTTTTTTGTTCTTTTTTAAACAAAATCTTTGGTTATTTAAGTTAACAAATTGTATATAACACGTTGTACAAAGTAACTGTTTCACATCACACAAAAATCATAAGTTTTTCCACATAAATTAATTAGTTCCTTTTGACCATAGCAAAGCTGAGGCCGAGAATACTTGCAATACCAATAATAACTCCTCCTGCAATGGCCATACCATAAAGACCCTCTGTAAAGAAAAAACCTTAACAATAACTTAAAAATTTATTTCAGAAGTGCTAAATTCATCAAATAAAATGCCATAAAAAATATATATTTATGAAAAATGTATATTCATATGAATGAAATATGTATGTATATTCACATGAAAAAAAAATTCTGTAAAGGTATTAAAAAAATTTCCTAAATAATATTTTTATTAAACGTATAAAACATCACACCATATATCCAAAAAGAGTAGGAAAAATTAATAATATAAAATGAGTACTTTCAATAAAAAATATAAGAAGACTTATTTGATAATTAAATGATAAATACTATCGATTTAGATTCTGATTACAACCATAAATTTACATTATGACACTAATGTAGCACTATTCAAATTAAAAATATGCAAAACACAATTCTTCTATTACATAATGTAAATGATATGTATATATAGATATAAAATATTTGTACTTTTTTAGTACGCGTAATGAAATTATTATATTTATAATATGCAGACTTTTTAATTCATTCAAAATATATCTAAATTATTTAGAGGCATAGTATGTTAATTGAAATTAATAAACTTTAAATGAAATATTACTATTTCAAAAAGTAATAAAAAATAAAATGATCAATTCATTGCATGCAAACTATAAAAACATCAAATCTCAAATCGAAATAACAAGTTTACTTGTCTAAACCAATAATGATTTATAAAAAAAAAAACCTTTCTCCATCTTTTTCTTGATTAATGTTTCCAGATGCTGTACTTGCTGATTTCCAGGTTCGACTTGAAGAAATGACCTGACATAATTTAAAGCTTTCGTGTATTCCTATAAAAAAATAAATATTAATTAAACAATGTTTATTTGTTTATTTTAAAAATTTTAATGTCATAAAACTATACCTTTATTCTAGCATTTCCAATAGCTAAATAATAAAGACAATCTCGTTTCTCACTATCATTATGATTGCAATATAAATCTTCCAATAACATTATTCCTTTTCTGATATCTGCAGGATATTTGCTTCTAACAAGACACCACGCATATTCAAATTGTGCCTTTTGTGTTATAACGGATGAACGTAATTGCTCATTATATATACGTTCAAATTTCTGAAACAAAAAATAATTCATTTCTTTAATATTTCAACATATGTTGTAACATCATGTCGCTAAAATATGAGTAATCAATGAATGATGTCATCATTTTGTTCCAATTAGAACTTTATATAGACTTTATATAAACTTATTACAAACTTCAAATTATTGACATTAAAATTATGTACTGAACATGATTATAGAATACTTTAAAGAATGTATTACAATTAAAAAGAAAAAAAAAATAGATAAAAACTAGAATTAAAAGCAAATTAAAGCTACATAACCTCTACTGTTGCATAAATACAGTTGCATAAATTCAGTACTACAGTGTAAGTAAATAAAAACTTTATCTCCAAACTGAATAATCTAATATTTAAAAATATTTTGTACGATAACTCCATATATATATGCAATTAAAACATGAATAATGATAAATAAAAATTATTTTCGTCAAAAAAATGTACCTTTAAATCGTCAGAGGAAACAACTTCTTCAAGAACGTCCTCCATTTTTTAATACAAATTCACAAGAAAGCTACGAAAAAAACAATTTATCCTGCTCTAAATTCTACCTTAAAAGCAAAGAATTCATTACAAAACTACCAACACCGGTCTAGCAATCGAGCTGTCAAAAGCATAGAAACAACCAAGTACATATATGCGGTTCCACTTATAGTCGGTATTGGTAAGAATGGCAACGCGCCATTTTACGTATGATTTAAATGACGTTGCAAGTATACATATTGATGGAAAGAAATTACGTGAAAGGAATGTAGATCTGATTGATTTGGAATAAATTCAATGCATAAATACAAGAATCATATATTGGCCAAAAAGTGTAACATAAAGAAACAAAATTGTGTAAAAATTGAGCTTATTGTTAGTTCTTTTGAGGAAATATTTCGATTTTAAATGTTGGCAATACGAAACTAAACCGTATGATAAAATTAATCTTCATTTAATTTATTTGATATTTTTCATAAATAATATGTGAAATTTTTATATTATGAAAAATCTTATTATAAAATATATTATAAAAAATATTGCAGATAAGATTTTAGTAATCATTTTATACAAAAATTAATGTAATTAAGAAAATGAATGAAAGAAGATATAAATTAATGTAATTAAGAAAATGAATGAAAGAAGTTACAAGAAATTATCTTTTTAAACATTTATTACAAAATAAGTTAGTTTTAATTTTTTAACTATATTTTCTTACATTAGTTATTATTAAACATTTCATTTAGTTGTTTTGTCATTGAATACAATGGCAACCCCATTACTGTAAAAAAATCGCCATCTACTTTTTCAATTAAGCAAGCACCAAGACCTTGTATACCATATCCTCCAGCTTTATCTCTGAGATCAGAAAATCATTAGTAATGATAAATTCATATTATTAAGGTTTTTATATTTATAAGAAATATACTCACAAAGGTTCTCCTGATTTTATATATGTCCATATTTGTTCTTCTGATATATCACCAAATTTTACTTTTGTAGATTCATAAAAGTTTACTTCTTTCTTTGGTGTTTTTAGACATACTCCAGTATAAACTACATGTTCCTTATTTGCTAAGCTAAAATCATATTTTAACTTAAGATTACTATTAAGATTACTATTAAGATTACTAACATTCAAAATAAATCTTTTACCTTGATAACATTTCAAATGCATGTGAATTATTCTTTGGTTTGCCATAAATGATATTATCCATTGTAACCATAGTGTCTGCACCAATAATTAAAGAAGGAGATACAGCATCTTCCTTTAATCTATTATATACTTCTTGTACTTTATATTTTGCTAAGTCTTGTACATATTCTCCAGAATTTTTATATGTTGATCTATCTAAATTTTCATCGTACATTGATGATATTACTTCCACATTTATGCCCTAATATACAAACAAATAAGTAATCCTTAATTAAAAATATATTTGTAAATGTATGTATGTACTATTTTACTACAACATTATTGCAAATTAATAATTGTATTAATTTTTCTTCAATGATATACATTAAGACCAATGAAACATTTGCTTTATTGGATAGGTTATTGTTATTACTAAATAGATTTAATTCAAGATATTCAGATATTACAATAATTCTATGTAATTTCTATGTGTTATAAAAAAATTACCAATTGTTTCATTATTTCATATCGTCTAGGAGATCCACTGGCTAATACAACTCTACTTGATGTCAAGGCTTGCACTGTTTGTTCTAACATTATTTTTTCTTTTTAAATGATTTTAATGAAATAATTAAAAATAAAGCTGTGCAAAACTCCAATATTAAAGTTTCGTATATAAGTTTTATATTTATAATTTCTAATAATCCTTTTAAATTATAAATTAGCTATTAAATACCAGCCACATTATTATTACATGCTAAATACAATGTTTCCAGATGTCGCTAGTTATGAAATTTTTTGCTGAAGACAAAATATGAATGAATTTGATTAATGAATATTCCATAAAAAAAAATATTTAGGATTAATCGAATTTTATTTTTCACTGTAACAAATTTTATCTGTAATTTGTAATTAAAAAATCTTTATTACTTCATTTCTTCAAATAATTTTAGCAATTATAGATAACATTTTTTACTCGTTTAAGTTTAAACTATATTAATTTATAGCATTCTTTGAAAAATAAGAATAATTCTTTTTTTGTTTTTTATAAAATATTCTAGTACAATTAAGAACTTAAAATTTAATTAATAAGAATTGGAGAAGCATATGCATAACAATGTACGCAAATAATACACATGTAATACGTAACAATATACATGTGTGTAAATAAAAATGCGCAAAATGTGCAACAGATATAGCTGGTTACATTTTGCAAATGAAAACGACGTGACGCGTAACAAAATATCATGTGATTATCTCTTCGGATCTGCTAAATTAATATCAAAGGAAAGTCCTTAAAAACAAGTATGGAAACATACTTGTGATATTCATTAACCGGTATTACGAAAAAGCGAGGTGGAGGATAAGTGAATCGCTGACGCTGTTGTAACTTACACCTTATTATGACTCTTCATTGCTCATAAAACACATTTTGAGCATTATATATTTAATTTATAAATTGACTATATTACAAAACAATCGAGCTTCTTTTTTAAATGACCTCGAAAACATAGCATTAAGCTGCATTTTAATGTACGATTTATTAAGAAGTTAGGATGGTGATACCAAAACAGGATGACTAAAAGCGTAAAAGATAAGTAAAAGGGGAATAAGGTGTAGCTTAAAAATATTAGAACGGGAAGGAGAACTATTTTCTAGGCACAGAAGATTCTAATACATCGTAATCGGTAAATTACGTAAATGCCGCATGCCATGAACGAACCTAAAGGTCAGTCAGTCCGAGGTCTTACATAATCGCAAGGCGAAAGGTTGACCCATCTTTACACTGTAGCCTTCCAGCTGAACAAAGATTTCGCGGAATTTTTTCACCATACCTTGCATTGTTTCAGTGGTGCAACGATCTTAACAGTTGCATTAATTAATTCAAAACGATATCTCGAGTGGGGGCTTGCTAAGACTTACGATTACTTTTGTGTTTCCTTCGAGCAATACTTGTAGGCAGAAAGATTCTCGATGATGATGAACCATACGTTTCATAAAACTTCGTTTATTTTAAGAGAAAAAAAATACAGAAAACATCTTTTTGGTTTCAAAATTCATTAAAGACTGATATTGATAATAAATTTCATGCAAAGAAGAAAACATAATTTCTTACATATTCAATTTATTGGAAAAGAAGAATTAAAAGTAATATTAATAACAATATTTTATTCGGTATTTTGAAATCAACAATATTTTTCTTACATTGCAGTATCGTTATTTCAGGGAATTTAATTTAATAATTCAAATATTTTTATATTTTCTTTCTTTTTTTATTGCGCGTTTGTGGTCATATCGATTTTGTTCAAGCAAATACGCTAGAAATAAAAAATTATTTCAGTATTACATAAAAATCATACAAAATTTGTTTTCATTAGTGTGAAATTCCAAAATTGTTCATATTTATTTATTTGTTTCCTTTTATTTAAAGTTATATTACTTTAGAAGGATTATTACGTTGTAAAGTTATCTACAAAAATTTAAATAACATAATAAAAGTTATTTATTAATATAATATCAGATTATTTATGTCATTGTGTTTTCTTCATTTATTTTATTTATATTTTATTAGTAAACTCTAATTAACAGTTAAATGATTAAAATACAATTTCTCTTCGTGAATTTGTATTTGTGTTTATTAGAAACAACAAAATTACGCGACGGCTGTAAGAATCCATTTTCATTATAGATAAAATATTTAACTGCGTGAATTGCAATTTCAAAGGAATCATTAATTTATTATTTGTTTTCTAAATACGATATCTAATGATGCTTTTTTATAATATATTTAATATTATGCTTGTATGTGTTTAATGATGCCTTTTTTATATTTGTATATTTAACAAATATTCTACAAATAATGCAAGCTGTATTTAAAACAGTTTTGCTGCTCAATTACATTTGTTTATTTATTGAATATATTCCGTATAAATATATTTTAATTATTAATCAATTTATTTATTTATTATTTGGTTTCGTTGTGATTTTTATTGTACAAAACAGATTATGTCTTGAGATAAAATCGATAACGTTGCAAATAAATTATTATCTATACTTAATTCTATTAACAATTGTTATTATTGAATTTGAATGTGTTAAAAAGAAATTTATTACGTTGTATTTAATTTATAGAAAAAATTCCAAATGATTAAAGTACTTTCATCGTATAAAGATTACGTCAGTTTCAAAGAAACTGGTATCTAAGGAAACGTATTGGTTGCAACTGAAGATGCAAATTACCCGGAATTCTCGAAGATGATTTCATGAAAACAACACGGGTTATCTGAAAATCTACATAATCAAAGACTATGACGAGCAGGATATTAAAAACCAGTTATTAAAGAGCATTCATAGACAAAGTGCCAAGATAAACGTAGATGATGTATGCTATTGTTACTTTATGTGTTTGCCTTTTTGCGGAATAGTAAATGGAAACAGAGGAGAGCATTCTTTGAAAAAATAAAATTTGGTGTAACTTTTATACAAATGACGAAATTTAATACAAATAAGATTTTCTAATTCCTATTATATATAAATTTTGCATAATTGTCATTTCAGAAATGCGCCTAATAATCGATATTAAGACATACTTTCCAAAAATATAAAAAAATAAAAAGACTTTAAAATTCACTAAAAATTGTTTTGCTCTTCATAATTTTTCATTTAATGAAATCTATGATTATTAATATTAATGCAATTTTATGTTTTTATAAACATAAATAAGGAAATAGAACCTTGGAAATCTGTTTCATTATCATAAATATTATAATAAATATTTTATATATTTTTGGATATTTTATATATTTTTATATATAAGTATATATATTTATCATATTTATTATATATGTATATTCTGTCGATTCTTATTTTTTTTTCAATTTCTTAAAAATGCATAAACATCAACAATCTAATAATTACAGCACATATTACCTTCCTTTATTTCTTGTATTTTTGCTTCTTATACGTTGAAACTTTCAATGAATGACCAATAATTATAAGATGTTATAAAAATTAAGAATTACGAAAGAATTCTTGGTTCAACACAGGAATAATTTATGTTAATAAGCACGAGGTATCTTCTTATACTTTCACTGAGTTAGCACATCCTTCTTATCTTTCTCAAGTCTAAATTTAACTCATCCGTATCCAGAAATTGGTCCTTACCGTATAATCAAGGTTAATAGGAAAATTGACTTAGATAACACAATTTTGTTTAAAAACTGTAAAACAGTGATGACATTACTCAAATATTCCAAGTATGTGGTATGCTAATACCAGAGTCAATTGTAGAAAAAAAATGTTCTGGCTCGTTCAGTCCGATGGATTTGTGAAGTCGTGTAGTGAAATAGTGAAATTATCGCTATAGGTCAATCTCTATTTTCGCGTGTGCAACAAAATGTTACGCGGTATCGTAAAAATGATTTAAGTGACCGCACGCGTTGAATAATTATGAGGATGTTGCACTTCTGTATTGGGCATTACATAATAGTACTATATATATTGAGTGTCGAATACCATTATTTATTATTATAATTATTTCATTAACATTATATTTTACTTTAGATTTAATATTAAATAAATTTTTAAATTTATCTTTATTAAAAACATCATACAATTGATATTATTTGAACTTTAATACCAGTATTTATTTTATTAATAATTTGTTACCCGTTATTAAAAATTTTATAGTTTATTAATGAAATATTTAATCCTTATTTCTCTATTAAAGCAATTGGTCATCAATGATACTGATCTTATGAATATCCAGAATTTAATAATTATGAAATTCAATGTTATACAAATTAACGAATATTTTAATTAAAATAAATTTCGATTATTAGAAACTGATAATCGATTAATTATTCCATTTAAAATTTCTTTGCGGTTAATTGTTTTATCATTAGATGCTGTTCACTCATGAACAATTCAATCATTAGGTATTAAAGTTGATGCTATTCCTGGTCGAATTAATCAATTAAATTTATTTTCAATTCAACCAGGATTATTTCTCGGTCAATATTTAGAAATTTGTGGAATTAATCATAGATTTATACCAATTATATTAGAAAGAACAACATGTGCCAATTTTATTAATTGAATAAATAATAATAATTTTTTACTTGAGACAATTTAGTTAATATATAACATTAAAATGTTACTTTAAAATAAATTAAACAATTAATTTTCTATTCCACAAAAAAATACCAATTAATTGAATAATAATCCTTTTATTTTGTTCATTTATATTAACATTAATTTTATTTACTTTAAATACATATTTTTTATTATTATTTGTTTTATTATTTCAAATACATATTTTATTGTTATAATAATAATTTAATTAAAAAAATTAAAATTGAGAACACGATAAGAATAATTGTTAATTACCAAACTATTAAGAGAATAATCAATAAATATGGAATGTAACAAGGTCTTGTACCTCGTAAAAAATAAATTAATAAAATATCATAAATAAACTAAAATATCAAGTAAGTGTTTTACCTATCAAAGCTCTTCCAAATACCAAGCGCCAAATGCCAAGGTTTTTTTTATGTAGAAACACAGAAAATATAAACTTTTGGTTTAAGCTAAAAGTGATTGCAGTGTTAATATTAAAAACACCGCACTTGAAAGATACATTGTTTTAATATGAAGTACAATTAAAAAAATACAATACAATGTTCATACACAAATGTTTATTGCAAACTATATAAACTGTTTAAAATATTTCAGTTTCGTCTACTTCTTAAATTGTAAGGGAAGGC